TTAGTCTATTTATATTATTCATTTAAAGAGAAAGAAAGTTTACTTTAAAGATACTCTGACTCAATTTGTTATCTAATCTAAGCATCCCTGAAAATCAGTTATTTATAGAAACATTTAACTTAATTTTCACATGATCTAGGATTTATGCATTATAATCTAAAACCAAGTAGATAATATACAATTAGGACATATACATGGCTAAGAAGGTGTATGCTAAATCAAGGTAGGTTCACAATGACTTCATTGATAACATCACTTGCAGTATTGCTAGCCAAATATTATTCACCAGACTACTCGGTATGTTCTCTGCAGACTGAGAGTCTAACACACACAATAGAAAATCTAGAACTTTTTAATAGTCTGATTTTCTTTTCAATCTTTAAGATCCCAAGTTTTAATATAGTAAAAGAATGGAGTCTTGGACTGGCAAAAAGAACAAAAGCTAAGTAATCCTATAGTGTCTAAATTATATTTATAGCTTTGGAGAAACAAGTTGAGGGAATGTCACAATATAGAGTAATAGTAATTCAGGACAAAGGAAATTTATCATTAAAAAGGTAAGCAATTGACTTTTGTTTCCCTAATGAAGAACACACTTAAAAACCTCAAGATAGGAAAGCAATATCTATAAAAGAAAATAAATAACACAACATAAATATATGTGTTTATTGGAATAAGGAAAAATAAGCTAGTTTCAAAAGAATGTACACTAGTCTTCCCTATCACACACATATTTTCCTAGTAAGCTTGATATAGCACCATAAGGCCCTTACCTCTGATGTATAACCTCTCCTGCAAGGCAGAAATAAAGAAATCAGTATTAAACATCTTGGATTTTCATATTAAATAAATTTTTAGATAAGGGCTTCTTTTAAAAAATCAGAGAAAAGCTGAGAAGGAAATTTTTACAAAACTATCTCAGTGGAAAATATATTTTGTGATATTATCAAAACTGTATTATCAGAGCTTCATGCCTGCATTTCTAAAATAATGATCATTACAGATCCTCATTCTATACGACAACAAAACGTGCAACATCTATTTTTATCTCAAAAGTGTGTAACAATACACTTTGACTGTTATTATCAATTGGTCTAAACAAATATTCTACAAGATCTCTGTTCTACACAAGTCTTGATACAAATAAGATACTCCTTGGAGGAAGAGATGTGTTTTATACATGAGGAATGCAATAAATAAGGATGAAATGTATCTCCTTGACTAGAATATATTCTTCCAAATTATTTTAAGATTTTTTTTCTGTTTTTGTGAACTTGATTCTAAAAATATTTAATGCAATCTACTGCATATTTTTAAATAACCAATTACATTATTGAAAATAAAGTAAAAATGTTTTTAAAAATATATTAGCCAAATATTCAATATTACATAAATATTTATAAAGTTCATGGTTCTTCAACTGTACTTGAGAAAAGAAAAAGAGTATACAATTTTCAAAATTGAGTATTGCTAATAATAAAAATTTCTGTTTATTAATTACTTATCAAAAGATGATCTAAAATGCTAAACGGATGCTGTCAACCATGTTTTGCAGAATTAATAAACAAGTGTATTGAAGATCCATTATGAAGAGGTACATGCATAATTCTCAAAGTCCAACAAAAAATCAGTGTAGAATTTTTTTTAATCTCTAGGCTTTCACAAGATATCTGTTTATCAGAAAGAATCTTAAGTGGTTAATACATTGTACATTGAAACTGCTTCAAATAAAATTAATACAATACTTACTTTTAATCTTTATTATTTAAAATGGTTCAGTAGTAAATTTCACAGAGTATTTATATGGTTCTGCCAATAATGATAATACTTTGAGGGCCTTTAAAAATTTAGACATTTTCAAATGTTAAATTAGATAGAATTAAAGTAGAGAAAGCTTGTATACAGGTTTTAAAGTGATAATCGAGTCACATACCTTATATCAAATATTAAACCAAATATAGACTTTATCCTTTTTTTTTTTTTTTGAGTTGGAGTCTCATTCTGTCGCCCAGACTGGAGTGCAGTGGCCGCTCCCGGCCACCGCAGCCTCAACCTGCAGGGCTCCGGCGATCCTTCCGCCTCAGCCTTCCAAGTAGCTGGAACTACAGGCACGGCTACCATGCCAGGCTAATTTTTTGATTTATTGTAGAGATGAGGTCTCGCTGCCCAGGCGGGTCTCGAACCCACGGGCTCAGGCAATTCACTCACCTCAGCCTCCCAAAGGTGCGGGATTACAGGCTGAGCCACCGAGCCTGGCTAGACTTTATCTTTTAGAATATTTCAACTGATTCCTTTTATTAGGAATATTTTTCATAAATGTGGAAAATCATATATCAGTTGATAAACAATACTGTTTCCATTAACATTTTTGTCCTCTTATTTGGTTATTGAGCATTACTGGTCTTAGCTCAGGGGTCGAAAGTCATTGAAAGAGGCACATAACAGAATCACTATTTATCATTATCTGTGCAATTTCAAAACATGACTTTTGGTATTTATAAAACCAGTTCATATAATATTAATGTATCTTTTTCTGCAGTTATAACCAGCGAGTATTAATTATTCATTTTATACTATTTGCATGTATTACAGTTTACTTTTAACAATAAAAACAAATGTATGGTGATCTTGCTTATGTCATGAAATAAGGTATCTAGTAATAATTATTATGTACTAATTGGATCATGATAAATCTAGAAAAAAAGGTATTCTTCCAGAAGTAGGATGCCAGGTTATGGGGAGTTATGCATTGAGAAGAGGAAGAATATTTAGGCTTGTATACTCAAATAATACTTAAAAGTCTTTCATAGAAGATATTTTAACTAATTTTTCTGATGATGTCAGGAAACTCCAAATACAATGAATCAAAAAAGACTGAATTAAATATAAAACACAAGTATATATTTTTTCATTTGAATAGTACAGAGTATTGATAAAACTCGTAGATTGTTCAGATACCATAAAAATATTATAGAAAATAAGACAATATAACAATTTAATAAAGCTATGTATAGATATTCTCACAAAAATATTATTTGAATATCTTATATTTCTTTTGTCACTATTTAGAGATTATCAAGAACTTCTAAACTATACATTTGCAAGAAGTTGGTAAAAATCAACTTAAAAAACACACACTCACATTAAAGTCTTACACAATTGTGAATAATACCTTGTCAGAGTCCGCCAAATAGCACAAGTTCTCATGCATATGACCAGCTGCCAACAAAAACTCCGACTGAAGTTTTTCAGTGAAAGAGAGAAAAAAATCATGTTCAAGAACCCCAAGAAAGAAATTACTCTTGATTTGGATGAAAAGAATCTGAAGCAGATGGGCTAAAAAAAAAATAATTAGACTTACAGATTTTTAAAATCTGATCTTATTAATTAGGAATGCCAGATCAAATTCTTGAAGAAATGTCGAATAATATAAGAGTTGAACAAAACATTTGAAATGATTCACTTTAGGGCTCTCCACTTGTATGCTTACAATAGTAATTATCTAGCATGACTTTGGCGTGTATTTCAGAATTGTATCTTTCTATGTGAAGACCTATATCTTCTAAAATATTATAACTCTTAAGACAAATAACTATGCTGGTATTCAAAATGAGAATTTCCAGTAAAGAAAATTTATTCTATATGTTTCATGGGAAAAAGCAAAGCAATTACTTGGTGATCACATATTATATATTTGACATCATGTACTATTATATAGATAGATAGATAGATAGATAGATAGATAGATAGATAGATAGATAGATAGAGATAGAGAGATAGATACATGTATATAGATACATCTATTTAGTCATATATCTACTTGCATAGATCTATCTATCTATCTTTCTATTTATCTATATCTATCTACCTATTGTCTATCTATGTGCCTAAGTATTTGAGCTCAAATTGAGCTCATTTTAAGTGAAGGTTTCCTAAAGAAGGTAAGAAGATAGTTCTTAGCTTAGGTGATGCTGTTAAAAATTTAGTAAACTGAGCTCTAAGATACTAGAACAATTACTCCCACTATAGCAATGTCTTCCCAGAGTATACATTTTTATCTTCTTTGTCTAAAATAAAGAGCACAGATCTATATAAACCTGATGATAGTTCACCAAATATTCATTGTATTTTATTTATTAAACTGGAGATAAGTAAATATTTTTAAAGGAGACTCGTGATAAAATTATAATTAAGAAGATGATATAATAATGTGAACAAGCAAACTTATATAGCACTTTAAACATCTGTTGGAACAAGAAATGTTTTACAAAAGTCAAAAACTCAAAATTTATTTCCATTATAAAGAGGAAAAGGGAAAACACAATGAAAAATAAATAGAATAAGACAGCAGTTGAATAAAGTAAAATATTTATCAAATCCATAAGTATACTAGTAAGATAAAAGCAAGCCAGAGTAAAGGATTTTTTTTATAAGAAAGCATATGACTACATATTATAGCACCTGGGATTTATTTTGAAATACCTTATCTATGTCATCCCCTACATTCCTAGTTACATAACATTTTACTTTGGTAGTATTTCTTCTTGCCAAATACATAGGTTTCAAGAAAGCAACAGAACCTATGCTATCACTTTAGCTTATTTCTTACAGTCTGCTTTTTTCTTGGAACTTTCATATAAAACTATGATCAAAAAATAAATACAAAAGTCACTGCAACAACATGATAGACATGCTTTTCGTTTATGTTGAATATTTAACTTTCATGCCCACATATTCCCATTAAAAATGGATTTAAATTACTTACTTTTTAAATAAATGTAGAACAAATAATGCTACTTTGTAGTTAAAAAAATTAAGGTACAGCTATCATATGAGTTAGTTATGATGAGGTTAATTTTTTTAATTAAAAATGAGGAAAAACTGCATTGCATTGAGTTTGGGGTAAAAGAATAGAATCTTCTTCGATGTTCAGATTTGATGTTCAACTTGAAGATTATGATCAACAAAAGACTTGCCCTATTAAAATATGAAAAACAGCATTACAGTGAAGTAGATTGACTGTAAGATTGATTTTCAATTCCCTCAACAATATTGTTCAGACTTTCCTGGTTTTGCTCAGATGTGATTTCCATATTTGTTACCTCTGAAGGGCAAACACTTTGCAGTTCTGAGATGCTTGTGCGTGGATAGTTTTTTTCTATTTGACTGTACATGTTTGCTACTGACTTTTCAAGTTCTGCTAAGTTTTTAACATGTCTGAGGATGCCTTTTGGTTTCCTTTGAGGGTGTGCATTACACACTGCTGTTGAGGTTGATAGCTTTGTCACAGAGGATTTAATTTCCTTGGCAGATGTTATGTTGGTAGTGCCTTTAATAGCTGGTATGCAAACACACTCTGTGGATAGAAATGAAGCTGAAGGAGGTAGTGGACAAGGAAGAGGAGGAGGTGGTGGTGGTGGAGGAAAAGTTGGAGGTGAGGGTAAAAGAGGTACAGAAGTCGGGGGAACAGAAGTAGGAACAGATAGTAGATAAGGTGGAGGAGGAGGAAAAGGAGGAGGGATAGCAGAAGAAGGAGGAGAACGGGGACGAGAAAAAGGAGTAAGGTCAGGAGCAGGAGGAGCAGGAGAAGAAGGAGGGGGAGGAGGAGGAGGAGAGGGAGAGGGAGGAGGAGAGATGCTTGATGAATGGGAAAAATTGTCAGAAATATTTGTTTGGGGTTCATTGGTTAACAAACAAGTGGGCGTCTCTCTCCTAGAGAGTGGAGAATTTAAAAAGCAAGATCTTGGAGTAGGAGGTTCCAAAGAACAGGCAGCAGGAGATGTGATGACATTAGGTTCTAATTTGAGCTCCACAGTTCTTGAGACAGTTGGCAAAGTAGAGAAGGAGAAGGAAGACCTGGGAGAGCAAAATGAAGAGTCTGAAGAGAGATATGTTCTGTTCAACTGTTCTGTTCCTTTTATAATCAGTGTTTCACCTTGTCTTACTTCCTCTTTCTCTGGCAAATTTACGTCTTCATTTATAAGCAGAGGATTGCTGCTATCTCTTTTGTTTGGATGACTTTCGGAAATATCATTTTCGGCTTTCTGCCTGGTGCTTTGCCATTGTGGCAGATCTATGATTTCTGGTCTATTTGGAACTTTCCTCATCAGTCTCTGGGGTAAGCTGACTGACTGACTCCACAACCTCTGAATCTTTTCTCTTGGGCTTCTCAGAGATGCACTCTTGGCCCCTGTTTTGGGTAAAAATGGGTCTACAAAATCTGTTCTCAGTGAAAAGTCTAAATGTGTGGCTCTTTGGCCTACATTTTCCTTATAAAGGGGATTGTGGGTACTTAAGGCGTCCTCATCAGATAGAAATGTGAATTTTCTTGCAGATTTCTGTTGGTTGTCTTTAAGTGATCCGTCTACATGAGCTGGCTTGTGAGCCTCAATAGAATTGGAAGAAAAGGGCATCATGTCTTGATGTTTTCTGTCTTCTGAGACTGAGTTATTTCCCCTGCTTTGTTGAAAATGGTAGAGAAGGAAAAGACTTGAAAGAAAAGAAGATAATGAAATGTAAGGAAACAAGTTGTGACATAACTTTTAAGAGAAAGATGTTTCTATGGTTCTCATAACTACTTCAAAATATAGGACAAACAACACTAATCTACTGAAGCAAAGATATTACTTACAAGTACCTATTCTCAGAAAGGCAGGGCAGAAAAATCTTCATAGTTGTGAATAGAATGATAAATTATGATTAAAAAACAAAGTGTCTATTTCTAGATTGTTTTGGGGGAGTATTTTTTTGTTTTGGGGGTGTTCTGTGTCTTTTGGTTTTATTTCATTTTGTTAGTTTGATACAGCAAAATATCCATATCCACACATAACAGTTCAGTCATGTGTAAATCACAATTTTTCAAACTGAAGACCAGCATCTTGGCTATTGATTTCATATACTTTGCCTTACTTGAGGATGCTCAAGGATGCCTGCTATGCATAAAAGATGCTTAGCTGTATTTGATTAAATACCTGTTCATTATCTCTCATCTCAGTAATTCTATCCTAGAGCTAATCACCTATATGAGACAAAATTTGCAGGATAATACAGAAAGGGCTATTCTATTCTCCAGATTAAAATAATTAATGTCCCTAAGACAGTTGGGAATGGTTTTCTTACTCAGTTCAAAATCATAATTGAGAAAGTGAATTGGTTCTAGAATCTTGACAGGGATGATTTTCTTCTGTTTAAATTTTATGCTTAATTAGTGTTAAGACATTATGAAGTAATATTAATCAGAAGAAGAGTTATTGATATTTTCTCAGAATATAATCTGGATGAAAGTTTAATCAAGACTCACATTAATGAAAATATTGTTAAAATAACATTATTTTGATATCACAGAATGATTTACTCATGCATAGATACTAAGTCATGCGTGACTGTGAGTCATAAATAAATTAGAATACATCAAAAGCACAAATAAAGTGCTTCTAATGAAAGCATTTGGACCCTTCTCCAAGTAAGATTGGGTGATACATGGCTTTGAATAGTTCTCATTAGGTTTTACTCTTAAGCCCCCAAAACAAACATTTATTTTAGTTAATGTTTAATATTTACCCACTTAGCAGGAATGAAATAAAAGAGAAATATTCTGAATAAAAATTAAATAGTTATATTGAAAAATAGTGTGACTGATTAGGCAATAAAATGATACATAAAGCCAAAGTTGTTAACGTGTCCTTTGGCAAAGTTACACACTTTAAGAAAGAATTCTCACAGGTGGACCTGGAGTATCGAGACTACCTGAAGAATTCAGGAAGAACAGACAGTTTGGATTGAACAGAGAGCAAACACTTCTATCTTTCCTAATCTTCAAAAACCACTTTTAAAAATCTGGCAGGAATTTCTGGACTTGACAGTGTATGGCCATTGTTTTGTGTAAATTTCTTCTTGATTTGATTTTTCTTGAGGAAAAAAGATAGATATAATGATATCACATCACTTTTGTTCAAAATAAATCTAAGAATATTTTAATTAAAAAAAAATTTTTTTTTTAAAGGAGACTTTTTAAACCCCTCTCTGAAGACACATACTATCACTGGAAACATTTGTTGTAAGCTCATGCCATGAAAAGAAAATTGGATGTAGAAGATAAAACTTTCCTTTTAAAAGTAAATGACTCCATGGTAAAAGATGAAGATCACTGTATATACAGCAAAATAGCACTTAATCTATTCTATTGCATCTATTTTTCTAATGCTCTTCTATTAGAGTGATATTATTTACTTACTTATGCCTATGTATCCACAGGTGAGAAAGAGAAAACATGTGATAGAAAAAGAAAAGTTTTAACTATAGTTAATGTAAGACAAATGTGAAAATACTAGCAGGAACTTGCTTTAAACACTTAGCATGTACCCAAAAAAGAAAATGCATGTTTTAATATTTTCTTTGTATTTATTAATACAAATGGCATTTAATAATGTTTTAGTTATAATTAAATGGTACTTATTTGAATGTCTTATCATATAAAATTATATATAACAATGTATTTACTACACATAAGTAAAATTCACTCCTATAAACATGGTATGTTTTCAATGCTGAAATAAAAATTATAGATGAGATTCTAAGAATTGCTTCTATAGTCTAACTAAAAATTTGGTTAGTGCAAAAAAATTTGGTTTTTTGACGTATAACATATATTTTGTTTGGGAGAAAGTAAAAATGCAAGTACTATGATGACAATTGCAAAGTAAATTACTGAATTAATATGAAGTTGTTACTTGTGAATTTTTTTCAAAATGACCTTTGATTTTTTTCTCTTTAATATAATGGATAATAATTCATTTGGAGCTGAATAATTTTCTAGTAACTATGGTTGCAATCCCTGTAAGAAATTTTGAATAGATAAGTTAAACATTTCTTAAAGATAAAATAAATAGATGTGTAGAACTTAAAATATTTCAATAAGTGCATATATTGCAATTGCAAAATCTTCCACTAAATCTACTACAATTGGCAATATGTAAAAATTTTATAATATGTAAAAATATTATTATGAGTTGCTATTTGAAAATTACCACCATCAAACTGTATTGATTCCAGATGATGTAACTCTATACCTGTTTTAATTAAATTAAAATGAATATAAAGTGTATCCTTCATTAATTTCATGTATAAACATTTCATATATAAACTTCACTTTATGCATCATTTTTTTAGTTTCTAAACATCTTTACTTGAGGGAGGTAGTCAACATAATCAAATAGAATCAAATCATATTGGCTCAATTCCTACATTCACCAGTAATTTAAAAATAAACTGTCATTTCCCATTTATGAAAAAAGTGAAAAAATATATATTTTAAGTCTGAATGCAGTATAATGTTATTATTTTAGAAATAGAATGTCATGCTTTATTCTAGTTTAAATTCATCTGTGATATTAAAATAACAGCATTAAAATCGTTTTGACATTATTAAAACTATCCTAAATATAACCTTGTATAATATTATTAATATGGTAAATATTACAATGTCTGCTTAAGACCACTTTTTCCGTTGAAAAGTGAATTTCATGATTTTTTGAGGCTTGCTTTATTCCTACTAGTAAATGCTACTAATGTCCCATGTAAGAACGAGTTTTAGTTTCACTACTCCATCAAATTCCAGTTAATCAAAGGTTTCCTAGATTTATTTAGTAACTGTCATATTCAGAATTTTATAATATCCTTGGTTATTTTATGTATCATATCCTTGTTCATTACTCTTGAATTTTTAAAGTATGGATTAATGAAACATCACCACAAGGAATCAGATTCTGAGAGTAGCATCAATATAGAAACAGTTGTGAAGTCTTTCAACAGTTAACAGTCTTTTTTAAAAATGTATGATTTAACATTACTTACAAATTTCAAACAGTGTAGGGGCACGCATAGCAGCCTAGGAGTAATATAATGAAAAAGATATTCTCTAAAGTCTTGGGAATTTAATACACGTATTCCTTGTTTTCATTCAAATTTTAATTGCTATATTACATAATGTCCTAAAAATAGCATCTTTCAAAACTCTATCATTTTAAACCACATTGGTGTGACTAAATAGGGGTTGGTTTTGATACCAAATCAGGAATTACTATTTTATGATTGTAATTTTTTTTCAGAATCTGTTTATAGTTTTAGATAAAAATATCTGCAAGACCCTGACAATTGAGAAATTAAATATAATCTAAAACTGTATTTCTGAAATTGTCTCCTAAAGTTGGAGATTCCTTTTTTTTTTTTTTCCTTTTCTTTTCTTTTTTGAGTTGGAGTCTCACTCTGTCACCCAGGCTGGAGTGCAGTGGCATGCACGCTCACGGCCCCCCGCGTTGACCTGCTGGGCTCAGGCGAGGACTGCCTTTTTTTTCTTGGTTTCTATTATTTTTGTTTGTTTGTTTGCTTTTGTCTATTATGTTTCTACGTTTCTTAGGTTCTCATCTCAACGATTTTCTGTTTTAAAACAATATAATAAAATAGCCCAAGTAGGCTGAGAGCTGCATTTCTGCATCAGATTGAAATGAAATACTCACCACACAGCATTCGTTAAAACCCAACTACTTCTCAAAGTTTCTGAAAGGTCTACTTACATTGTGCTATCTCCAAGTTCTTCATAGAGATGTGCACCCGGAGGAGGCGGCGGCGGTGGTGGCGGGGGCGCTGCCACTGGCACAGGGGCAGGCGCTGCTGGTTTAGCCGCGGGTAATGCGGATTGAATTCGTGCAGTCTTGGTGCACTCAGCTTGGCGTCTTGAGTAAAATAAGGATGTCTTGTAAAACTCGTTTTAGAGCTAAATGCTTATCAATAGGCTACCTTTTAATAATGAGGTCTAGTTATCAGAAGAGCCCACTTAATATTTTACACAATTATTTGAATTTATAAACTAGTATAAAAGCATCCTGACAGACCTCATCAACATATAATCCTCTCTTAATTTTTACAATATTTACCCCTTGAAAAAGTGGTAGAATTCAGTGTATGTATATATATATTTACAAATTAAATTAAATGATAATATTAAAAGGAGAAGGAAAAATATTTATAAAAATGTGATGGATAATGAATCTATTTCAAAAGATGAACCAATTTAATGAATCTATTTCATAAGATGAGGCATATAGAAGATAAATATTTTTTCTTTATAATTTGTTTATTTTAGCAAGTTAATTTCAGAATGATTTGAAACATTTTTGAAATTATTTTATGGAGGCTGTGTAAGTGTGCACATGTAGAAGGGAGACTGAGTTAGCTTTTATATCCTTTTGATTCCTAGGAATGACTGTGGTTCTCATGTAAGAGCCACTCTGCTGTTTTTGGATGTCCTGGCCACTGATTCTTTCCCCAATACTAAGATTTCAAAAGATGTAAGCTATAGTCAAACAGACTATTTCACATTATTCTTGCTGTATTCAGTTGTATAAAATTAGCAAAATTCTATATATATCAAACCAAAAAGTACACAACTATCACAAATGTGAAATGAATAATATGTGGTTCTGGGCAGGCTGACTACTTTGATTAATGTAACCTGGGGTTCTTCTTTTCATATTATGTGAGACTGAAGTGTAAAATCTTAGTAAATATACTTACACTTTAAACCTGTTTGGGAAAGCAATGAGTAAGAAAAAAAGAGAAAGCTACATTAGAAAGACCACATTCATAATATTTTATCATCTGATTTATCCTAAATCATGAATAATTTACTGGTCAAGCTCATAATGACACAGAGTTAATGACATATTGGGGAAACTAAGTATTTCAACTTGGAAAGTGAAATAGTGAGTACTTTATTATTGCCATCACAGCCATTAAGGCTGTTAAAACAGTCATTACAAAAAGTAAAGAAATAGACTACATAAAATTGAAAAAAAAAAAAAAACTGGATTAAAACATGAATATGTGAATTCCAAATCTAATGGAGAAATGGAATCTTAAAGATGATTTGATTTTTTAATTGGTCTATTGGTTTAAACTACTTAAAGAATATTCAAGGAATGCAGCTAGCCTGATTATACTCTTAGCCTCACTTTGAAACTGAAGCTAAAATTGGGAGGTCCAACTTCTGGATAATACATTCATGACACTTTTTTCATACTTGCTTCCCTGTTTGCCATTCGTTGTAAGTTTCAAAGACACATCATAATATAAAAGAATAGTCATCATTCTTACCTTACTTAGAAGCTGAATTTAAAGGTACAAGTGTTAGCTCTTTAAATATGAGAATTTTACTTGTTAATCTATATAACAAAACAGTAACTAACATAAAGTCATAAGGTACTGAATTGATTATCAAACTAAAAGAGACTTACCTAATGCATTTACAAAATGTGAAAATATTTAATGTGTTAAGTTTTTATTAAATTTCAGACTATTGAGCATAACATCCAAGGTGCTTCAGTTTTGATCACTGCATACTGTGCCAAATATAAGAATTTTTCTCACTGATTTTATTGCTAGCAGAATATAATAAAGCTCCTTTGCAAAAATAGTTTAATAGAAGGAGTTAACTGGTAATTCAGAATAGATTTAACATGAAAATTAATATCAGTCTGATGGCTTAATAATTTAAAACAATTTGTCCAGTATTAAGTTTGTTCATAGCCTTCAGATTTAGCACATTGATTTCCTAAGGATACATTAGGCTCCAATATATCAACATAAATGTTATAGTTTCAACTTTACATTGCTTCATGCAGAGCATACGTTTCAATTTTTGAGTTGGAATTGCCTTATCTTATTCAATTCAAAAGACAATTTTCAGTGTTTGAGGAAAAAAAAGATACAGTTTAAGAATATATAAGGACTATTTTAGTACTTTCTCTGTAGGTATTTTAATAGATGAATAGCAGTTCTACTATTTTTTCTTACTGTTATATCAAGTAAATTATATGATTTATTTTTTCTGTCTGTTATATATATTTTTTTACTGGCTCACTCAGGGTTACCTATCTTCTTAACTGACTACTCAGTTTTTTTTTTAAATCATTGTCGATAGGGATATGCTTAAAATGTGCAGCCCTTTGTTACAAAGTTTCCCCATACCTAGTGTCAAATAAAGAATACCCTACTAGCCTACCTCAAATATAGATGTTTAAATTAGTTATAATTACTTGACTACTTTAAAGAACTTAAGTAAAATAAAAAAATAGAGATATTGTAAATGAATGCAGTTGAATGTAGGAAACTGGAAAAATTAAGAACTTGCACAGCTAGAATACACTATCAAATATTACAATAAAAGCTCTGGCAAGGATACCTTGGAAAAAAGAAGCCACATGGAAAATTACACATTATATGTTATGATTTTATAATGATTTTGCTAACACTGTAATCACCTGCACAGAGTTAAATTTAATCATCTGGATAAAAAGCTACGACAGTGTAGTGAGGTTACAGACCTTCCCATGGAATGGGGCAAAGTGGGTATCTTCATCTGACTTACATTGCTTTTTCCCCGGGGATGTCTATTACCTTTTCTCCCTAGGTGGCTCTTAACCTGAAGAAGAGGACAAACAAAGCTACAGGAGCTAAGCTAATATTCCATTTGGAAGAGAGCATATAAGGAACACAGCAACACTGTACCATCTGTGAAAAAAGTAATGGGAGTTTGGATTGTTTTTTCTTGGAAAAAGATGATTTGGTACAAGATGAAAAAAGCAATTCCAGATTGGTTACACCATCAATATTTTATAGCTCAAAGTCATGTTCCCAGAGCTGGTTTTTGACAATGCCTTCTTGGAGAACTATCCATGTTTTGCATCCTTGACTACTTACTGTCTGTAGCTGACCAAAACCACCAAGATAGCAGGAATGCAGCAGAGGATGATGATGAAGGCCAAAGCCAGTAAAGCCCCCTCCGTGTATCCCAGACTTTCTCCTCTCTTTTTGATGCTGGTCACTGCCTCTGGAGTCCGGATCTCCAGAATGCGTCCTCCTTCTCCGTAATGTGGCTGAAAGTCTTTATTGATATCAAGCAGTTTGCCATCCAGAAATCTTTATTGATAGGTAAATAGTAAACTTAATGTTAGTAGATAAAGGGCACTTTGTAAGCAAATTCTTTTTTGTAAAATCTTTTAATATTTGCTTTAATTGAAACACAGCTGAGTAAGAAATCTTATGAATAAGAGAAGCATACATAAAAAGCATGAGATAAAGAAAAGGAACTTCACATCGTTATATAAATATCAAAAAGATGTTTAACAACATGATCCTTGTTTGATTTGCTTACTAACCTGAGAAAACTAATTATTAGTATTATTAAAATGAATATCACAATGTTGAAATAATTTACATTTTCAAATTCCCTCTGAAAGAATAAAATATCCTAAATTATGTAGCATAATTTAAAATTGTATTCGTACATTTTTATCTCTTGTGCCCTTGGAATAATCCTGTAAATTTATAGCATTACAATACTGATTTTATGGCAGGCTAGAAAGCTATACAGTTATGACAACAAATCTGAGACATCAATCTAAATCTTCAGACTATCTTCAGACTAAATCTTCAGCCTATATTTGCTTTTCACAACACCTGTTTAAATGTTAACACTTGCAAATCTCAAACAAAAACAATGTTTTATGAGCAAAGGGTGAATAAATTAAAAGATTTTTCTGCCAAGAAAAAAAGACTAAGTAAATTACTCAGGTATTATATCAGTGTAGTCAGAAAGACAGGAAATGGCAGTCAATTTAATCCCTTCCTCTAAATAATTCAGATCTAACTATGAGTATTGTATTGGGGAGGAGAATCAAGGAATAATGGTTCTTTAATATTATTAGGTTGAAAAATGTGTTACATTATTTTATACTGTGATTAGGAGGTAATTTTTTTTTTCAAAATTCCTTTAGAACTTTTGGACAATCTCTTATTAATCCTGCATATTGATACAATAATTGTTCTTAATGCAACAAAACTGCAATTCATCATAGTTGTTTTCCTTTTATGTTTTTAAAAAATTGTTATCTATAAAGGTCAAATGTCTTCTTATAGAAAGCTGGAAAACACAAAGTAGTTCAAGAAAAGCAATATTACTCAAAGTTCCATGATGCAAAGATAATCTCAATCATTGCTAACATCTTGGTACACTCAACTCTAGTCTAAATTTTTTAGGAGGTATCAATTAATATTTTTATATACTTGTGATTGTATGACATGTATCAAATAAAAATATTATTTTTCAAACATATTTATCTCAAAATATAAAATAACAAATTTTATTGAAAAATGTAGAAAAGACAAAGAAATACAAAAGAAAAAATAAAAATGACCCAAAATGTTACTATCAAAGTATAACTGATGTCATGCTTATACATTTTTTACAGTCTATTTTATGCCTTTATAAAGCATTCTTTTCCGATTTTCAGAGTGATCATGTTGATTGTAAATCAAAATTACATACTTTCATACCTTAAATATAGAGGTGCCTGATATCAGATATGAACTCCACTAGGTAGTTTATTAGTCATTCAATCTAAAAAATCCAGTGGCCCAGATAATTTAATTTTAGTTTTAAAGTTATGTACTTTTTAATTCAAATTTCCATACTACAAGTTAAGGCAATTAGAATGCTTTCTTTCTTTCTTTTTTTTGGAAATACAATTTTGTCGACTAAGCGTACTTCATTTTTTAAAAGTACTAGAAATGGAATAGTAAAGCTTTTTTGTTTGAATTGCTTATCAAATAAGAGATTCTAAAGGAAGTATACATTACAAATTGTTTCACAAGAAATATATTAGAACTAATATATTAGATCCAGAGGAAGACTGTTAATTTGAGGGGAAAATTTACTTCTACCATGTGAAATTCATTTAATAGATCACAATTCTATTGAATTCCTGCATTTCATGAACAAAGAACCTACAAAAAAAAAGTCTTTTTACTCTACAACATCCCTATTACTTAAATATTTATTTTGGGCTATTTTTCAATTTAAGTGATGTCATAAGTAATTGCTTACTTTTGAACCCACATCTGATATAGAATATCTTTATCTTACTTTGTGCATTTAAAGCAACTTGTCTAGGTAAAAATTCTTGAGTCATAACATTATCCCTTAAAATATGATGAATTTAGATTCATTGGTTTTAGCATTTTAACATGCAAATGAGATGTGCTGGGCTTACCTAATTTTTGTTCCTTTATGAGTAATTCTTAATTCTCTTTCAGTGATTTTTAAACATACCCAGATACTATTCAAAGAAACATGACCATCTAATTGATTTTGCCTGTAATTATAAAGTCTTTCATTCTTTTTTTTCAGTTTTTGTTTCTGTTATTAAAGTTACAATTTTTCAGCAACCTCCTCTGGTGCCCTCCCACTATGGGAACTTTTCTGTCCTTTCAATAAATCCTATTTTCTGAAAAATAAATAAATAAATAAAGTTACAAATTTTTACTTAGAAATACATATAATCACCAGGTTGTATCTTAATTGTCTTATTAAATATTTTATGCTTATCATTTTTTCCTTAATATTCTATGAGCTATATACTTCACGTTGCTGATTTAATTTTCAGATGTCATTTCAGGCAAGATTGAATCCAGACGCTCAGTTGATTTTAGGAGATTGCTTCCATGAGATAAAAAGTTGGTCCTGAGAACCTTCAGGCTTTTGTTGTTTAATACTTTTCTCTAATTTCAGGACTAGGAACTCTACTATATCCTAACATCCATATCAATTATTGAAGGAGGAATCTAACTGGCCTCCCTAGAATGTGTGCTACCCATATCTAGTCAATGTGAGCAGAAGAATGGCATATGGTAGTTCTCCCTTATCGGCTAGTAATATATTACAAGATCCCAGTGGCTGCTTGAAATGGCAGATAGTACTGAATCCTATATATACTATGTATTATTCTATGCTGTACATACATTCCTATGGTAATTTCTAATTTATAAGTTAGGTACAGTAGGTGATTAACTACAATAATATAAATCCAAATAAAATAAATAAAACAATTATTAAAAATATATAATAAAAGTTATACAAATGTGGTCTAGGAACTACTGAAGTCCAGTTGAACTGAATGTGAGACACCTGATTATAGACTACCACCAAGTCAGAGAGGGTCAATTCTCACAAGGGAAAGTGGAGTTCTTTCTCCAGAAACAGATGAAAGATTGAAGCCATGTAAAACACATACACTATTTTACCAACCAATACCATATTACTTTCTATTGAAAATGTTAAACTGTTTTCCAATGGGAGAATATTTCCAGAGTTATATATTCATTCTATCTCTGAGTCATCAGGGTGTTATTCCTGATTTGCAGCATTTATTTTGTTTTTCAATATTTATTACTAATTCAATTTTTCCCCTGCTTACGTACCCTAAAAAGGAGATAGATCTGTCCAAATCCAACATCAATAGAGAAAGGTGTTTTCTCTCTTCATTCTCATCTATAGTGTACTTAGTTGCTGTATGCAAATGTTTTGTAAGTCTAAGGGTGAGGTGCACAGGTCAGTTTCCAGAATGTAGTCAACATTAACTTATTAGTGCTCTGCTATTCTAAGTTCCTTAACCAATGTCATGTCTTTTAATTTTTCTCAACTTATGGAGCACATGCAAACATGTATTTCTGCCTTTAATGATTAGTATGAAGTACAACTCTCAGAGAAAAATGTATAACTACCTTGATGATTGATTACCTGGATGGTGATGATTTGGGGGTTGCAATGCACATATGGATGTAAAAAGAGAGAAGTGGAGGATAAACAGGAGATAGGACCCTATGCTTCACAAAACTCTGTACTTAGTGTAGAGTATGTTTCTGCAGCAGGGTTACAGAGTAGGCAGTGGTTAACCATCCACCCACATTCATATCACTGAATAAGACTGTTCTGCTTAATGAAGCAATTCATGGTTAGACCACCAAGTATTTCTATTTCAACTAGATTCTAATAATCAGTTTTACATTGATTTAGATTTTCAGTATTTTGAATTTTCATGTTTTTTCCTTCACATAGGAAATTGAAAGAGCTTTATCAGTGCGTGGTAGTCAAATCCCATATTAAAGTCAAATCCCATATTTTTAAGTACTGTGCAATGGTAGTTTGTAGACTAGGTGGCCTTTCTCTACCTTCTTCATCTCTCATTTACCATTTGGAAATACTATTTTTAAGCAAGCTAGACATATCAAAGAGGTGAACAAACTAAAATATGTTTATTTTTTTTAATTTTAAGAAGTGTTATTTTAAAGTGATATGATTTTTTTCTGCTTACTGTGTAGAAAGCTACAAGAAAAAGTGACTAATAACAATAAAAACGAATGACAAAAAAGATGCCAACTTATACTAAAATCATAAATTTACCTGAGCTGAGGTCACAATGTGAACAAAACAACAAATTCTAAAGAGGGACAATTAGGTCAATCTCAAATTGAGATGAGACCATGCATTGTTTCATCCTTGGTAGATCAAGGTTAAGAGCAGCTACCATAAAAGCAAATTTTAAAAATCAGTTAAATTTTTAAATGAATTTTAAAAGCCACTTGTGTACTCACATATAAGGCTAGAATAACAGAGACCCACAAACGCAAGGGGGGTTTGCAATCACTCACAAACATTTTTCCATCCTTCTTAAGATAAACTAAGGAACAAGACAAGACACAAGAGGAAATTCCTTCATAGTGTAGAAATACAAAGATATCAGCTAAGGCTATTATGCAATTCCCCAGACCTTTATTTTACATGAAACAAGAGCCTTAGACAGTAAAGAAGGACAAGGAGATGTGTTCATTCTTAGCGCTTGGCCCAAGATCCACCGCTTCGAGGAAAAGGGCATAAGCAAAAATTCCTTATCTTGAGGAAGGAGTAGGATGTCCTCTTAGGCCTAAGACCCTGCACCAGGAGAAAGGAGAACTCTACTACTCTCTGTGGATGGCAGAAAACTCTCTTGCCCCCAAGACCCACCACAAATATGAAGCAGAGTATGGCTGCTATGAAGCCATGAAAAGGAGAAGAAATTGTGAGAAAGCCCACCTCTGGGTTTTAAATATTTGAATTTTTAGAAAAATCAAAGTAAATTCCAAGAGGGATTATGATTATTATTGCTTCTAATCCTCTAGTCTGAGAATTCCAACATCCTCAGAAGCTCAGGTTTTAGTGTAAGTGGAAATTGAGAGAATAACTCTACTTGCATTGGTCTGGGTATTAGGAATACTCAAAGTACTAATACTCTTGTTCAGTGTTAAAAACTAAATTTTTATAACTATGGTATAGATATTTTACCTGTGCTGTATCAGTCTAAGAAATACATATGATATATAGTTTTTTACAAAAATTTCAAGGAACAATTCTAGGGTTTAAAATAGACCAGTGAGTCCAGTGCATCACAGCTTACTACTTAAAGGTGAAGACTACTAGGCAAAAACTTAATATTTCATTATTATTCTATCCTATCCTCAATATAAAAATTTGCTTTTCAATTATACATGTTCTTTTTCTCATTCCCTCTTAGCTACAATAGTTATTCTATTGAATTTAGATCTTTGTTCTCCACAATATAATTTAGGTTTGAAAAAACTTGCTTAACATGAAGGATGTTGATCTTGCACTTCATGGTATCAGTTGAAATACAAATAGATTGTCTCCAAATATTTTATCTCTAAACAGGTTTGCCAGCTAAATTATAATCACCTTCATTTTACTCTTTAAAGCCAGGCTAACATCCTAAAGAAAGTAGATATGTTTGCATTTAGGCAAAACACCCTAAACTCAATCTCTGATCAAATTCAAAAATAAAACTTATGTATGTAGAAAATGCAGAATGCAGATGGATTTAAATTTTTAAAAAAGTGTTAATACTGGAATTAACAGAAAGGATATATTAATCCCTTTAAAGTCTGTTCCTAAATAAAATTTTAAATTAGTAAAATATTTGAAAATTGTCTTGAGCTAAATGTTACTTCATTTGCATGATGATTATAAAGCCTGAGATAGAACAATTGCTCTAGTCATCTATAGTTCTCCTCATTATTGGTAAGTTGGTCTTACACATGTCCCAAATATCTATTAAAAGTTGATTAATAATATACTTAATAACTATAGCTTTCAAAAGATTAAGTTTATATTAAATCACTACTTCTTTGTTGCTAAAATTAGGAGCAGTGAAATGTTGTTGATTAACAGATTTAAAATATGCTAAGTCATTGATTTTATTTTAAAAAGATAGTTACTAAAAAACAGATGTACACACATTTATATAAATATATTTTTTTAAAGTATGTGGATGTATTTATATGCCATTTAGAACGTATAGAAAAAGAAAAACTATATTCTGAAACTATGGCTTTTGTTATGACTATGTGTGTGTTTATACATATAAATAGTTTATGCATAAACTATTTAACATATTTACATATGATTATACATGTATATATATGTTTAGTTTAAAAGGTTTCCTTTAGATAGAATCTCATTCCAAGGACCTGTTGAGCACTAGATGTCACTAGTGTAAAGCAAAAGCTGTTAACACATTTTAAAAAATGTATTAAAGTGTGCTAAAATAATATCCAAGGGAAAATATGTAGCTGAGCAGCATTATGTTTAAGATTCTGAATTTTCTTTATTTTTAGTATTTGCAACTCAAATATTTAAGTTCATACCAAGATGAAATGTCACACAGGGCATGGATTTAAGTGGGAGTGATTTTCCCTCCTGCTCTCCACCACCAAGTCAAGGATAAAAGGAGACACTGATTTTTACTGATTCGGTAGACCTGTAAGAAAGCTGAATTTCATTTTTAGTGTAAGCATACTGAAATCATTGTAGGACAAATTTTCACTTGAAGAATCTGTGCTTTTCTCTGAAATAGCCAGGGCCTTGAAGCAAGAGTAATTAGTTGAGGTGAGGTGATCTCAAGAAGCTGTTTCTTGATGATAAATGTAATAAGCCCTTTCTAGCCCAGAAGAATAAACCCTCTGAAGTCACTCTAGCCAACTTGGATCTGAAAACTTTTAGGCATGAAGACCTTAAATACTATCTCTGATTCTTTACTTACACTTTATTTTCAACAACAATTGGATGAATTCTAAACTTTAAGTACTTACACTGACATCCTTAAGTCAGAATTATCTATGGGTGCTATATAACCAGAGATCTATTACCGACAGCAAAAAGTACTTACTTAAAAAGCTCGTTTCTGTCAATGGCTCTGTTTGTTTGGGGGTCGATTGCATAGACAGTCAAGTCACATTTGGTGTAATCTTCTAGGGAAAAGGCATCTCCATGCCGGCGAGCTCCAATGGACTCCACCACAACCTTGGCACCAGGAATTTGTTCCTGAACATAACGATCCAGGATCCTAAAAATCAAACAAAGTACAGACATGACATTCTGAAGTGTGTTCTGGGGGAAAAAATCACTCTCAACTAGAGATGCCATTTAATAAATGGAAAATGATGACCGCTTGGTTTTTGTTAATGTTTGCTGAATATAAACGCTTGAAAAAAACTTATCTATATTTTTTCAGTTGTTAGCTCCCAATGATGCTGGAAGCTGAATAAGGTAGGAAGAAATCATCAACCATGTCCTAATTAAGCTTAGACTTTTTTGAATTTATGATGCCATTTGAGTTTTTACATAGTTCATGGGAAATGCCAAATAAGCTGTACAAATAAAGCTGTCTATGCTTTATAAAAGTCATAGAGTCTTAGAATTCTTGACTTCACAAGGTTGGTATTCTAAATTACACCTCCCATCAGAGTCTGTGATACTTGGTACATAGTTGTGCACTAAAGTACAGGACTAGGATGCCTGTTTTCCTACAGGTATAGAAATCCTTAGAGCAGTATAGCATTATAGCAAAAATGCAGAGCTATTTCTGCAATGTCAGGTTGACCACATTCAGATACAAATATGGCATGCAAATCTCAAAAGTCATTTAGGTGAATCAAAAAGCTAAAAGATATACTATCTAGCATAAAATCAGTAAAACAAACAGACACAGTGTTAATCAATATATAATTTTCTTGAAAAGACAAGAAAGTAAGACAGATTATGATATATATTTGAAATCTTTGCTTTCTGTGTTTCTACAAATGACAGTTACCTTAATGTCCTGTTCCTTAGTTTAAAAAAAAACTTTATATTATCATCCCTTCTAGATAAAAATTAGAATGCATATTATTAAATATTTACATATTTAATTATTAATTACATAACTATGCATGACAGATATTTTAAAATTTATTTATAGATCCAATGCTCCTTTTGGACTTTATACTTTGAAGTATTTTTTAGTGACAAGAATAACATATTCTAAAGTTCTTTGATACATCAGAAAATAACCTTTGCTACAAATGCCAAAACTGACCTAATTTCTGCTTTATTTAAAATATATTGCCTTAAGAGTTTGGTATGTGCCTGGTATGTCCTTGTTACAATGAGAATACTAAGCTTTGGAAGAAATGGTTATACCAGTGCATGTCAGGAACACTGTCAATGACAGTGAAATGTTCTGTGTGCTTTTAAATATTTGTAGAACAGCACAGCTGAAGTCTGTCTCATTTAAGTACTATATATTCCTATCCTTTTCTGTCACCATTCCACGCCCACTGGTCTCTCTTCTTCACAGTTTCTTTTCTGAAGAGATCCTTGAAAAAGAATAAAGAATAAAATGAAGTGGAATAAAGAAGAAGGAGTAAATTCACCTGGCAAACAGTAGTTAATAGTTGGATGCAACCTGTCTCCAGGAACCTGAAGAAAATAGATGTACTGGGAGACATAGACTAGTGGAACACCATTCAGTCTGTATTTTAGGTTTCTTTTCCTGAGAGATTTAGGCTCACTTATCAAAAATAAGAGGCCCCAAAGTCAGACCACATTATACTGTTGACATTTTGTGAGAAGCACCGATAGTAATAATATAGCATTGAAGAGCACAGAAGTTTGGCTTCTGTTTTCATTTTATTTCCTTACCAATTGCTTAACTCTGGATAACTAATTTTAAGCTCTCAAACTCTCAGTTTCCTTAAATAGAAATTAAGAAATCATCTACCAAATGGGATTGTGTGCACATAAAATGAACTAAGTTTTTACACAAATTTTCACATAGTTTTTAGCACATAGTAACTGTTCTATAAAAGGTTATTATTTTTATTATTAATAATTGGGCTTAAATGTTTGTATTAATAAGCTTTTTCCTTGCTTCTAATTCTTTCAAGATACTTAATGTGTGGAATTATTAAGAAAGCATATTTCTCACTAGTATTAGTTCACAAATCAAAAAGCAAACAAATTGCAGTACATAGTTAAATAAAATGCAGTAGGAGGTTGTCTGTACCAATTCTTCAGTTTAACAATTTTTTACTTCTCCAGTGCATGTAGGCATTGATTTGATATGTTTCAAGGAAATTGTCATATATGCATAGATTACCGTGTGCTGTCCTACAACGAAGTAACTTGTCTATTGAGCCTGTGTCTTTTTCTATATTTCAGGACAATATTGCAGAATCACATGTTATTAAAAATTAGATGTGAAATGAAATATAATTGTACCAATTCCTCAATGGTGATAGAAAACTATAAATTTAAAAAGTCTAAAAATACATTATATCATTTAAAACATGTAGCAATGTCTTCTCCTTGAGCATTTTTCTATTAAACTTTTAGTGATCTTTTGTGATAAAACATATCTTTGATTAAAAGAAATATGTACTAATTTGCATTTCTCATATCTTTTTCTAATAAATATATAAAATTAAACTTTATAGTTTTTAAAATGAGTACATTTTGTAAAAATCTATCTTTCCTCTTATCACCTGTACCTACATACTAAACATTTTCTTTCTTTTTTTTGTGAGTCAGAGTCTCACTATCACCCAGGCTGGAGTGTGGTGACACACTGCTCACAGCCACTGCAGCCTCGACCTGCTGGGCTCAAGCGTTCCTTTTGTCTTAGACTTCCAAGTAGCTGGAACTACAGGCATGCACCACCATGTCTCACCATGTTGCCAAGATTGGTCTCCAACCCCTGAGCTCAAACAATAGTCCCACCTCCCTTGGAACTATTTTAAGTATTTCAAATAAGATCAGAATGGTAAGAGTCCCTAAGAGGCTGCTGTTTTAACTGGTGTCTCATCTTTTTCACTATGATAAAGTGATAAGGATAATTGGTCCTTTTTCTTTTTTCTTTTTATTTATTTATTTTTTTGAGTTAGAGTTTCACTCTGTCACCCAGGCTGGAGTGCAGTGTCACACTCATGGCCACCACATCATTGACCTGTTGGGCTCAGGTGATCCTTCTGCCTCAGCCTTCCTAGTAGATGGAACTACCAGAATGCGCCACCACACTCCATTAATTTTTTGATTTATTGTAGAGAGAGGTCTCACCAAGTTGCCCAGGCTGGTCTCAAACCCCTGGGCTCAGACAATCCTCTCATCTCGGCCTCCCAATGTGCAGGGATTACAGGCTTGAGCCACCGCACCCAGCTGTACTAAACATTTTCTACATCTATCTCCATTTCTATATGTATGTACATTTCATTACATATGTACACATACACATATAGAGAGATACATATACCCTTCATATATGTGTAGAGACATGCATACACTTTATATGGAGAGATTTTCAATAATGTTTAGCTCACCTATAATATCTATCATATATACACACACATCAAGAAAGACGTATCTAATGATGTTTATATAATGTTAATAATGTTTAGGACCTTGGGCTATGATTTTGGGTTTACTTTTTATAACTTTCTCCTTTATATATTATGTTGTCCCACATTTTAATAATGGGAGCAATATAGTCATAAAAAAACTTTTTAACTCCATATTTTCTCTTCCCTAACTTCTTGAGAAAAAAAACTTCATATAAATCCATATTTTGAGAGTTTAACAATTTAGATAATTAAATTGGACTCTGAGCTAATAAAATTACAGCAAAGCTCAAGTAAGCGTTAAGTAGGGAAATTTACATTTATTCTTTCATTCAACAGATATCTACTGAATGCCTACCATAGGCCAGACGTTGTTCCAGACACATGGAATATATCCGTGAGTAAAACCACATATACCCCATTTTCCTTATCCACTCATTGTTGATGGATATTTGTATTATTTCTATGTGGAGACTATTGAGAATATTGCTTCAGTGACCATGGAATCTGTTCAAATTCTGATTTGATTTTATTTTTTGTATATATACCCAGAGCTGGAATTGCTGGATCATATATTAGTTGTATTTTTTAATTTCTTGAGGAATTTCTATACAATTGCTTATAGCAGCTATATCATTTTATATTCCCAACAAGTGTTCTAATTTCTCTGTACCCTCACCAACACTTATCTTTTTTTTTTTTTTGACAACAGTCATCTTAACCAGTGTGAGATGATAGTTCAGTATAGTTTTGATTTGCATTTACCTCATGGTTCACAGTGATGAATATACCTGTTTACCATTTGTATATCTTTGGAGAAATGACTATTCAAGTCCTTTATCCATTTTCAACTGAGTTACTGTACACAAAAATTAACTAAAAATAGATCAAACATTTGAATGTAATATCTGAAATGATAAACTTGGAAGAAAACATAGAGTACTTCTTTACATTGGTTTTGGCAATGGATTCTTAGATATAACACCAAAGCACTGGCAACAAAAGCAAAAAAATAGATAAGTAGGGCTACAGCAATCTAAAAAGCCTCTGTATGACAAAGGAAAAATCAACAGAGTAAAAAGACAACCAATAGATGGGGTTATAGAAAATATTGGCAAACCATATATCTAATAAAAAGTTAATTTATAAAATATATAAGAAACTTTTTCCACAATGATTTAGTCCCCCCTTTTTCCTTCTCCCTTACTGGAGGATTGTTTTGAAAATATATCTAATATAAAAATTAATTTAAAAAGAAATCTAGGCTGCAGTTTGGGGTTAGAATAGGGAATGGGGCCTATATCTTATAACTTCACAATTGCTGAGTGATTTAATATAGGACTTAAAATTCACACTATTTTAGGACCCCTACTAGACTAATGTTGCCAGACACAAAACAATAAAATACATATTTAAAACATGTTAACTAATTATGTTGCTGGAAAATATGAGATTTTGATTCAGACAATACCCTCTTGTATACTAGACAATGTTAAATTTTACCTATGGCTTGTGTTTCTGAAAAACAAGTATGGTTAAGAAGTTCCCTCATCCTTTTATGTTCCAGGAAACTGTTTATTATAAATGACCATCCTTCTCCATATGACATCTACAATTCTCATGATCTTTGTTTACCTATCAGAAAGCTAGACACAGACCCTCAAATTTCTATTTTTTGCCTTAAAATGTATTA